TCTCCTTTGTCTCCTTACAGCAGCAATTCCCCTGGCCCTTTTTCCCCGCAAGTCAGCTACAGCAGCAGCAGCAGCAGCAGCAGCAGCAGCGCAGCAGCAGCAGCAGCAGCAGCAGCAGCAGAAGACCGTGCTGCTTCCCTAGGGCCCCCCCCAAACCTCACAGGGGGCAACGCCAGTGTGCTGCAGCTGGGCAGCTGGCTGCTGCAGCGCAGCAGCACACTGCCGCAGCAGCAGCAGCAGCAGCTGCTGGAAAGCTTCCTTCTTCGCTTCGACTTTGTTGCTGCTGCTGCTGCTGCTGCTGACAGCAGCAGCAGCAGCAGCAGCAGCAATGGGGGCATTCTGGTGGAAAGGGAAGTCGTCGACGATGACGAGGGGGAGCCTCCTGCTGCTGCTGCTGGTGCAGCAGCAACAGCAGCAGCAGCAGCAGCAGCAGCAGCAGCAGCAGCAGGAGATGCTGCTGCCTTCACAACCCTCATGCTGGACCTCCTGGCGCTGCGGGCTGGCGAAGGAGCAGCAGCAGCAGCAGAATGTCTCGTGAACCACCTCAAAGAGGCGTAAACCCTAAACCCTAAACCCTAAACCCTAAACCCTAAACCCTAAAGACTGCATCCCAAGGGACTGCGGGCCCTTAGGCGGACTTGTCTTTCGCCTTTAGGCCGAGCCTCGAGGGTTTAGGGTTTGAGGTTTAGGGTTTAGGGTTTAGGGTTTAGGGTTTAGGGTTTACTTGCTTTGCTGCAGCTGCAGAGGGGAGCGCATGGGCTGCAGCGGGGACCCAGCTGCTGGTGCAGCAGCAGCAGCAGCAAACAGCAGCAGCAGCAGCAGCAGCAGCAGCAGCAGCAGCGCATGGCTGCGGCTGGGGCGCTTCGCCTTCCACAACCGCCGCGCTGTTAAGCAGAAGCTGCGAGCCATTCTCCAGCTAGGAGGCAAGGGTTTAGGGTTTAGGGTTTAGGGTTTAGGGTCTGGGGTTTGTGGATTAGGGTTTAGGGAATAGGGTTAGGGGTTTAGGGTTTAGGGTTTAGAGTGTGGGGCCGGCGCAGCGGGACAGAGGGTCTGGCAGCGCTCAAACACTAGGGTTTATTCTTTCCTGTTTTTCCTCAGGATTTAAAGTCTAGGGCTTTAGGGTTTAGGGTTTAGGGTTTAGGGTTTAGGGTTTAGGGCAGGGTTTAGGGTTTAGGGTTTAGGGTTTAGGGTTTAGGGTTTAGGGTTTAGGGTTTAGGGTTTAGGGTTTTGGTTTTCAGGAATGAAGGGCATATACATCGGGGCCCACCCAAACCCTCGCTTTCACTCCACGCGGACTTTCTTCGTCAGGAGAGAAGACCCCCAGCTAGCCACAGCTAGCCAGCCAGCTAGCCAGCCAGCTAGCCAGCCAGCTAGCCAGCCAGCTAGCCAGCTAGCCACAGCTAGCCAGCCAGCTAGCCAGCTAGCTGCAGCTGGGCAGCCAGCTGGCCAGCTAGCTGCGGAGGAGCAGCAAGCTGCAGCTGGCCAGCTAGCCACAGCTAGCCAGCCAGCTAGCCAGCTAGCCACAGCTAGCCAGCCAGGCGAGCAGCTAGCCACAGCCGCCCAGCCAGCTAGCCAGCCCGCTGGCCAGCCAGCTAGCCAGCCAGCTAGCCAGCCAGCTGGCCAGCTAGCTAGCCAGCTAGCTAGCCAGCTAGCCACAGCTAGCCGGGCCAAACTAGCCAAAGATGAAGACTTCAGTTATGTCCGCTGCGTCGAAAACATTCTTTCGGCAGACTAAGCGGCCAGGGCCATTTGCTTCAGCCTCAAACAGGTGCGTCACCCACAGCTAGCTAGCTAGCTAGCTAGCTAGCTAGCTAGCTAGCTAGCTGGCTAGTTGGCTAGCTAGCTAGCTGGCTAGCTGGCTAGCTAGCTGGCTGGCTAGTTGGCTAGCTAGCTAGCTGGCTAGCTGGCTGGCTAGCTAGCCGGCTGACTGGCTAGCTAGCTGGCTAGCTAGTCAGCTAACTGGCTTCCTGGGTAACTGGTTAGCTGGTTGCCTGGCTAGCTTGCTGGGTAGCTAGCTAGCTGGCTAGCTAGCTAGCTAACTGGCTGTTTGGTTGGCTGGCCAGCCGGGCTAGCTGGTTGGCTAGTTAGCTGGCTAGCTGGCCAACTAGCTAGCCAGCTAGCTAGCCAGTTAGCTAGCCAACTAGCTAGCGTGCCTATACCCAGCTGGCCAGCTAGCTAGCTAGCTAGCTAGCTAGCCAACTAGCTGGCCGGCTAGCTAGCCAGCTAGCTAGCCAGCTAGCTAGCCAGCTAGCTAGCCAGCTAG